CAGCAAAACCAATCAAGATCGGGGTTAACAGAACAAGCTACAGGTCAAACGTGGGGAAATTCGAATGCTTCACTTCTATCTGAAATTTGTGCTGATGATGTTGTTCAGAAGAACAATGAAAACTCCACAACTAAAACATGCAGCTCAGAGAACCAAACAGCACCACCACGAACATTCCGTGTACTTACATTAATTGTTTCTATGGTTGTGAGGAGCATCGGCCTCGTAACTTCCGAAGAAATTCAGGTTTCATTAGTAAATGTCATTACTATTCTAAATCAAGAATTTCCAACTCCCAGGGTAGAGCTTAAATGTTTTGAGTAATTTTTTCTGGTTAGCGTTGTTTAGCGAGTTCGTTTTCTACGAGATATGGTCGCCAACCCCATGCCTAACTCTCCTTCTTTATCCAGGCTTGGATCCGGCAGTAACCTCAGAAGGGCTCTACATGATGAGATAGTTGCTGGATTTAATTTTTACTTTACAGCTGTGTTCAACTCATATATCTTAAGTAGAGTGAAATGTTTGTCAACTATTTTAAATTCAACTAATAAGCAAAAGAAGATTATGAATATGTTGATAATTGGTTTTTATTGATTTTTTTCTACATGTATACAGAGATTCTAGAACTTCCATAGTTTAAATCATAACATGAATCTAGCTAAACCACCGCTAAAGACATTAAGGCACTGGAAATCTACTTGAATTTTAATATATGGGACTCATTAAGAGTGTGCATTCATAACCGTACTGTAGGTATCGAACTGTTGAGGAGTTTCATGCAGGAGCGAAATAGCTTTACAGTGGTGATTCCTGGTTTTCAATGTTATTTAAAGTATGAATTTTCTCTATTCAATTACTAATTATGAATGTTTATTCCTTTTTATTTCTTTTATGCAATATCCTAAACAAAGCACAACGAGTTTGGAATCAAGAGCTGCGCAATCATTTAGTTACTTGTAATCCTGACAATCACTTCAATTACACGAAATCAAAGCGTAATTTCATACCAATTTTAACAACTTTAAATCATGATGATCATCGTTTGTCGCAAAACACACAACTACATTTTCCAACAAAATTCAATAGTTTATTATATCAATTTGCGTATATCGCATTAACTGATCCTTGTTTATTATATGAAAAAGAAATGAATATTGATGGATTTTTCGAAGAACAAAATATCCATGGCTTCAGTCCAATCAGTTTACTTTGTCAATCAATGATGTGTCACGAATTATCTAGAATAAGTGGAATGTTAGTTGAGGTAATTGGAGTATCATTTTTCTTGTCTTTTGTTGTTTGTTTACGTGTACATTTATTTTCAATGAAATTATTTTTGTCTGTTGCTTTGTTAGAGAGTCTTCGAGGATAAAGAGTGATTTTAAGTTTCTCTACCAGTTGAATGTTATTCAGCTTTGCAAATTAGTATACTAATCATTTCAACAGAATTTTTGGCATATAGATCCCTGTAAGAAATCATCTGAATTTCTATTCCTCACTCATCTTTACCTTATATTGTGGATTTAATTGATTATTGACAATCATTGAATTTGTTACTGAGATCCAAATGTTCTATACAAATAATGATCGTGTCATTCATTAATTACTAGTCGAAATATGAAATTCCACAAATTGAACGTGAAACATTCAGCTGGGAAGGGATCCAGTGATAAACTCACTCCAACGCAAACCAGTTGATCTACAGAAATCGTTTCATCCTTTTAGCTAGTATCTACTTGAATTGACTATATTACCAGTCTGATTATATTAGTCATGATTGTTTTCATGAATCAATAAGTTCTTTCAATCCGGCTACTCTAGTTTTGGATCCCAATCGTTTATTAGGGTGGCATTGTGCATTTATTTACGGAATGTCTGAACTAATAGTGCCGTAAAGTAATTTATCAATTCCATCAAGAACTTCAGATTTAATTTTTAGATAAAACTTTCATAGTTTGATTCTATGTGGATTTAAGTAATTTAGATATTTAATTTTTTGGTTTCAGTTACTTGAATCGTCCCATTGATGTTATGGACTGAAACTGATCAGTCTTTTTTGATCTATAGGAATCCTGTAAGGATTGCTACGATATTATTTTTCAGTCACAAGTATTTATGCAGACTTGATTAGGGGCTGACAATTGTATCCAGGACATGTATTTCGTCCTATTTTGAGACGAAACCCTGGGTCGCAGATAACTTTCACTGATGAACCGCGAGTCCTAGATTCCACTTTCCTTAGATAATTGTAACTTACAAATTTTTTTCCTATCTTCATAACATGAGATTTACAGCCACATATAATCGGTAAATCAATGTCTTTTTGGCTGTCATTACTCATGCATCTCATTTTTCAGTACTTTTATCAACAAGGTGTTGTCGAGACTATTGAATTTTATAGGAATTTCGAAAGTATCTAACTTAGACCACTGTTGAAAAGCTGGAAGCTCTGGACTGATGTTTCATTCTAGTATGAAAAAAGTTGGTCACTCAATATCGAGGATTGGTTTCAATTGTAAACTAATACCACCGATTCAGTGGTTTAGATGTGAGAAATTCGAGAGCAACACCGAAGTTGGTTGGTTCAATTCGTACGTGCGGAGTGTTATGGATGTGCAATTATGAGAATCCTAATAGCGGGACAAAACAACCGTTCAGTGTTTCCAGGTGTGGGGCCCATTTATCTGCGTGTTCGGATAGCGCCTGACGGTTTATAAATCAGAAGGCGAATTCGAAGTATGGATACGTTTACATAGCGAAGTTGAAAAGCAGCAAAAGAATGAGTGAACGAATAGGCGAAGCGCATTGGAGAAGGCTGAGAGCCAACTCCTAGGATCACAATGCGAAGGAAGCGAACGAATAGGACTAGCGTATTGGAAAAGGCTGTTGAGCCAACTCAAAGAGATAGAGCATGCCTAATAATATGTAGTCAGATAAAAAATAAGACAGACATGCAACAAGCGAAATAAGCACACATGAATAAAAGCGACGAATGATTGACAAGGTCAAATGACAAGTGGAACATGTCATGTGAGCTCATACACAAACCAGACAATAATAAGAACGAATGGTACATATAAATTGTTGCTACGCGAATGGATTGGTTAAATAAATTAATCGAAAGGGCTTAATCAAGTTAGATGTAAGCGAACTGGAATATATGTGGAGGCACTACACAGGTTCTCATTGGTGATCTAATGTAGATTTTAAGAATATCATATAATTGCTTTTATTTTTCTTAATCAAAATTAGTGATATTGACAATTTTATGATGAAAGAAACTGTCATTTTATTGAGTAAACAAAATAACTTTACAATGTACTCAACGCAAATCCGTATGGTATACTCAGGCTATAAAGATGAAAACAAAGAGATAAAAATCAGGTCCTCATCTGTGAAATTTAAACTATTCAGTGTAGAGTTGTTAGATATCATCAACTAAAGCTATCTTAAATACGGAATAATTATATTATACTGATGACGTTGAGTAGACAGATCAGAATTATGATAATATCTCGTGTATTTTTGAGAGAAATTAAAAGCCAAATGGCTCATATGTTGTGACTGATTAAATATAAGTTAGCATTATTTGGTTCCTTAATATGATCAGAATTGATAAACAGTGTCTATCATACAACGAAACAAAGAGTATTGTCCTGGATAAATACCTTCTGCTGATGCAAACTTCAACATATACGTGTTTTAAAGTACTTAAAGTGATTCAGAACTTAATCAAGGATATTTGTATAGCTGGATAGTATTTTAAATCTCAGCTCGAAGGTTTTAAGCTTGTTAACACATAATGGTTTCAAAGAAACATATTGCTATATCCGATAGCATTTTGTGAAGAAAAACCCTGTAAGGATATAACTAACTCACAACACTAGACTAAGCCTTTCTAATGATCTATAACTATAATAATCCGACCTCTGGCCGAATTTTTTAACCATTAATTTAGACACACAATCGATACGCTATACACGGACTAGATTATGTTATTCCAAGTATATCATTCACGATCAATAATAGAGAATTAGAGTATAGCTTCGAAAACACTCTGTTGTTCAACGTGAACGTCAAGAATAGAAATCATTAAAAGGAAATCACGTTTAATCGTCAGTAAGGTTAAGTGTCTGTGGTAAATTGCATTTACTTTCATTGATCACAAAATTCGTTAGTTATGCATGTTTGGACTTACATTGTTTCACTTCAGACAAAAATTACTATTAATAAATGTTGACTTCATAATCGTAAATAACACTATAACTGAGTTCACCATTATCGTTAAAACAAATTTAACCTATGTAGTTCAAGATTTAATTTCTGCTATTTAGAAAACTATAGATAAGCAACAGTATTCCTCTTAGATATCATATACTTAATGACTTCGTTTTCAAATCTACTTAGCAAGAAATATTTTGCCGATTGAACAACTTCATCAATTTTTTCATTTATAACTTGCCTAACAAATAATCTTAGGTTTTCTAAACTCAGAATAATATAGATAGTTTATTGGAAATGACTTTTGACTTTCAAAGATAATATCGTAGTTGAGAGCACAGAGAATGACCTTAGTTGAACAGCGAGTGAATACCAGGAAGCGCTAAATGACTATTTAGCTTTGGTGTATTATTATTCATTCATGATAAGCGCCCACTACCACCATATCAAGCATCGAAACTAAGACCTTCACTTCTCTGGTTGAGAAATTAACTTCCTAAACCGCTGAACTGATATCAAATGATTTACTCATCTTAATACTAACAAGATAACAAAACATTGTACTTTAAGAAACCAATACTTATGTAAAGATAACAATACAATGCTGTAAATGTGTTTTGTTTTTCCATTAAGCGATTCAGTTGGATAATATGGTATATGCATTGTGCTCTAATGAAAGAACGTTGTACTCATGAGAATGCAAGTGTGGATTGGTTAATTATGTATAAGATTGCACATTCAATGGGATATCACTTAAAGAACTATTATCTGTGTAAATCAACTCATGAAATTCCATTTAGTGGTTCAATTATATCGGATAATATAAACAAACATATTTATTCAAGGTGGACACCATTATGTAAGACATCCTTTTTTTAAAAATGTTTATTAATTCTAATATAAATATCCTTGATAATATATACAGTAAGATGATGTTCATTTTACAAAGTTCTTGAAATATGACTCACAGCTTGTTTTGTCGGCTATGCATGTCATTGGTTCGAATTCAAACTCATTGAACGAACTGTTAGTTATACATACGAAAAATTCAAATATTCCCCTTGAATTTGAAGCTTATACTTATGATGTTGTCAAGAAACACAATGTAAGCCTCACAGTTGAATGGCTAGATTCAGAGAAAGTAACTTTATCAAAAACATCCTCTACAATATCTTGAAATGATATTCATACGTAAGAGGCTAGTTAAGGTTGGATGTAACTTATAGTTCACAGAGAAAACTGCCATTGAATATCAATCCATGGTAACTGATATATTTAGAGATCATTCATTTTTGTATACAATAGAAACTCAACTTAGTTTTTGAATGTTCCATGAATTCTTTCGAGATATTTACAGTAAGAACAATAATCTAGGTGAGTAAACTTTGCGTGGACCATGGTAGGACTGTTTCAACATAACTCACTGAAACAAGAGCTTCATTTAAGGGTGATCAAACTTTTCAGTGAAAACTGGAATATTGTAGGAATAGTATGAGATCAAAATAACTGTTTGGTAAAAGAATTGGGCGCATGTAGTTTCTTTCACTTTTCAATATACACTTTATTATTTAAATGATCCCTGTTCATCTGGATTCGGGAAAATATACCGCAGACACAATTCTAGAAAACCATAAAACGACTAGGCAGTTGAAATGTCTAATTTCTGAAGATTCGATATGAGTGCAGCCACCTTTAGAGAAAGTGAAATGTGTCGAAGAGAATATGATTGATATACCTTGAACTATGTACAATAATATCTAAATGACCTCATTTTGTGTATTTATTGAGCGGAGTACAAAGGGTTTGTTTTATTTATTAGTACAAATAAAATGTGCTTTTTTTTAATTTCAGTGTTGAGTGAATCTGTTCAGCCCAATTCAAAAACTCAATTAAATAACATTTTACAATCAGTGTCGCTTTTGTGTCACGAAATAAAACGATATTTTAGTCCATTATTACCCAAAAATTCAAGTTCAGACTGGTTATTTAATAATTTATCAAGATCTATCGATTATTATTTAATGAAACACTTTACATCAAGTCTTTTAATCCCAATTTCATATCTTCTATTTGGACCAGCTGGAAGTCTTTTTCTTGATTCAAAATTTACCAGGCAGTCTATTTTATATTTAAACGGACACTCTTTGAAAAAATCGGCCGATAATACATCCTCATCCATTGTTTCTCATTGTGTTTGTAATGACAATGGAGTATCGACTAATTCGACTTTGCCTTCTGTGTCTTGTTCAACACAGACTACAACTTCCATTGATTCTTCATGTTATTCAACTTCTATCACAACTTCTGCATCAACCAATTCTCCGCCTAATTGTTATTTTGCAACTAATTCTTTTAATACTCCTTCATCATCCTCCATTCAATTTAATTCGAATAATTATTCTTCTTCTTCATATTATTCCACTACTTCAATATCTACTTCTTTATCTGATTCATTAGTGCATGGATCTTGTGTGACTTCTACGCCCGTTCTCTTTTCATCTATGATATCTTTACCGATTTCATGTACTGATATAGTCACGACGACTACTACTACTACTACCATTAATACTACTGCTACTACTACTACCAGTAATACTACTGCTGCTACTATTTCTACATCACTAGTGAATTTATCATGTACTCCACCTACCAACTCGACATCAACATTTCCAACCTCTTCATTAACAAATCAACTTTCTAACTTCTCGCTCCAAGAAAATAGAGACGAAGAAAGCGAAGAGAATATTTCAACCAACTTCATTTCTAATAGCAATAATAATGATAATAGTAATAATACCATGAATTATAATCAATTTAGTACACAAATCGAATCTTTATGTTCTAAATTGAATGATGAAACAGAAACTAGTTTATCTAGTCATCAAAGACAAATCTATTCACCATTTTATAAAAAGCACGGTAAAGAGAGCAAAATCAGTCATCGAAGTTGGGCAAAGTATGGATTGTTAAATCCACATCTTGTACCATCTTGTATCGATTTACCAGAATGTTTGGATAAGACAATGGATCTAGAAGCGGTTTTTACTAAATTAAAAAACGATTTATCGATTTGTGATGTAGAAATCAATATCTACGATTCAGAATTACAGTACATGATTAGAAATGCAATAGATATGATTTATAGGTATGTTGAATTATGTGTAAATATTATTCGACATTTCCTATTGTTGCTTAACATGTAATTTGAGCAATAAATATTTGAAGTTATAATACAAGAGATGATTGGAAATTTTAGTCATAACGTAATTAATGCTGTGGGACGAGTTTATTGAGCATGTTTGAGTCGGTGATGTAAAACCTTACATCTTATTGTGGTGGTGTTTCGTTCTCTGAGCTGATAGAATTGAAGCACCGGGATTTCTCCACGTTTGACTTGTAGCTTGCTCTGTTAACCTTGGTCTTGATTGGTTGTTGTTGGCCTTAAACCTGTCGTCGTTTGCACTCTTTTTTGATTATATTATGTTTGTATGGGTTGGCTTCCGAAATACTTGAGTGTACAGTTTTCCTGAGTCAGCTATATTGATTAGTACATCCAGGAATAATCGACTGTTGTTTGATTTCCTTTCCATCGTGAATTTTATGTCCAAGACGTTGTTGATCTAATTGTAGATGTACTCCAGCTTGTTCCTTTTAATAATGACGAATGTGTCGTCTAAATAGCGGACCGAAATTTTCGGCTTGATCACTGGTAAAAACGACGCTGACGAACATCCACCATTGGATCAACAACGTCTTCGATGACATTGTGGTGGCCAATTTCTACGTGTTCTGATGCTTCGTAATAAGCTCGTCCAGATAATCGTTACCAAATAGCGTCTGAAGGTTTATAAATCAGAAGGCGAATACAAAGTGTTGAATACGTTTATTTTGGCACACCACAAATAGGGATAGCAGACCACAAGCAGACCGGGCAGGCACACTAGCAAGCGAACGTGCGAATGGGCGAGTGAATTATTGAGATTAAAATGTTCGTATATATACCATAGGAAGATATCTGAGTCATCGAGGTATTTAAGAGATTAACATTAAAGCGAATAGGATGAGTAAGCGCGTAGGCGTAAGCAATGCTCTGTCGTACAAGCTCATACAAACCAGACAATAAAAAATACCAATGGTACATATGGGTTGTTGCTATACAAATAGCTTGGTTACACAAGTTAATCGAAAGGCTTGACCAAATTAAATGTAAGCGAATTCAAATATATGTGGAGTCACTACAGTATAAAAATCACAGTGGAAAAGGAATCAGACAACAGTCTATCATTTCGGGATGTACTAATCACCAGAACTAATGCAGGAAAACTAGAAACTAAAGTATTTTGGAAGCCGATCCACACAGACGTAATTCTCAACTACGATAGAACAACCCAAGAACCCAAAAAATCAACTGCATACGAACTTCGTTCAAGAGAGCGAAGGCACATGGCAGCACATACGAAGCAATCAAAAACGAGGAAAAACATCTTATGACTATCTTCCGAAAGAACGGCTATCCACGCAACTTCATCAAAGAATGTCAACGGAAATCGTGAACAGAAGCGAAATCAAGTACAGGAACCAATAAACGGATCATCCTACCATACATAAAAGACATATCGGAGCATAAAGCACGACTACTGAAACCATTTGGAATAGGTGTGGCACACAAAGCAACAGAATCACTTCAATCAATCCTATGTAGACCAAAAGACAAAATGACAAAGAAAGAAAAATCAAATATCATCTACAAAATAAATTGCTCAGACTGTGAAAAACACTACATAGGACAAAGTGGACGGCCTCTTCCGATTCGTTTACGTGAACACCAAATAGCAGTCAAACGCCGCGATAATTCTTCGCTTATATTAATACACACGGACAATTATGGACACACATTTGATTGAGACAATGTGGAAATACTGGATATGTTTAGCACAAAGAACACTAGAGAATTTTTAGAAGCTTGGTACTCAGATCAATCACATTTTTTAAACCATGAATCGACCACTCTTAGATCACCATCACAAACCTGGGAGCACTGGACAGCCGTTTGGTCCTCGTATGGTACTCATCAGCAGTGCGCATCCACGATCCCTGCAACCCTCTGAACCACTGAGCAGGTATCTATTGGTGTTAATGTCTAACTTGATCGATTCACGCAGTTGCGCAACTTTAAACATAGTCTACGGTAGTTACTCTCTAGACCCGAACTAGTTGAACTTCACTGGTCATAACTTCCCACTAAAACTCGGAGAAGATTCCTCACGAAGCTAGTCAATCGTGAGCAGAGGTAATTGCATAACAGGGTTATGAGGTTTGTTAACTTACACTTTTTGAAACCATGAACCGATCAATGTTAGGTCAATCAGCAATCAACAACACATCGACATTGATTCAATTTATCAACCAATCGAAAAAATCGTAGGTGACAGAGGATCAAGAAACAGATCAAAAGGGAGATGCAATCTAAACAAAGGTACAAACAACGACAGATTTAAGGTCAACAGCAAAACCAATCAAGATCAAGGTTAACAGAACAAGCTACAGGTCAAACGTGGAGAAATTCCGGTACTTAACTTCTATCTGAAGTTTGTGCTGATGATGTTATTCAGACGAACAATGAAAGCTTCACAAACAAAACCTCCAGCTCAGGGAACGAAATGCCATCACAATCATTCACCTGAGCTACAAATTTTCTCCAACATCTTACATCGTGTATCATATCATCATAAATTGGAATGTCGTTTGTTTTAATCCTTTAATGACTTAACATATACGTTGATGTTTTGTGTATAATTGAAATTTTGTTAGGTTTATATTTGATATTGTGTTTTGAATGTTCATTTTACGAACAATAACATTTGAAAGGATGTAGTTCAGTTATAGGGCTATTCAGAAATCGATCAACTATTAACTTCATCTGACTGTCCAAGGAATGGATTTCATCTTCTGAGGAATAAAACACTAACGGTGGTTTAATTTTTCAAGATACAAACAATGTATACATGAATTATTGTACATATATGTCGATTCAGTTTGTTCGATAAACTTATGTTCTCACTTTCAGTGCTTTCAATAAAGTTGAAGGTTGGGTTTGTCGGTAGAAAGATTAGTTATCAGTATAGATCATTGGATATCACATATTATAGCGGTAATTCGCTCAACATAATAACTGTTAAATGATAAATCAGTGGTCCAGAGTTTAAGCATTAGCATGCGAGACTGAAGGTCCTCGGTTCCATGTTTGTCGGAGTCCTATACTCAAAAGAAACGGCCATTTTCACTGGTAGTTTAATATTGACTGATTCATGATTTTGCTAATACTCAACAATCTCCATAATCTTATGCTTATATGTATCTATATTTCTGTATTCTAATTTTCCTTTCTATCAACAAACCATCTCAAGTGCTTTATCACATAATCCTTGTTATATACTACTGAGAAATTCTTCTACAGATGTTGGCTGTGGATTAAATGTTCATTTTCATCAACAAATTATCAAATCTATTATTCAATTAAAAAACTATGATAAAATTTATTATACAAATTGTGTAAAAGAATTTTTAATGAGATCCTCTAGTAAAACTGATGACAGTGAACAACAATTTTGGAATAATTTTACACAATATGATTTAATTGTGATTGATTTATTGAATCAAAATACAAATCACTCTTTTCATGCTGATGATGATCATGATGATGACGACGTTGGCGATGTGTTACTTTTATTGATACAAAGATTACAAGAATTACGTTTTTATTTACCATGGAATGAATTGATTAATGATGATATATTGAAAGGAATTTTCGTTATCACGTCAACTGATGATAGTAAGTTCTGCCCTATTTATATTTGAATAAAATAGTCCTAGTAGTTAGTTATAATGATGTAGAATTTCACCACAAATTTCAAATGATTATTAGACGATCTTTTTTTTGATAATTTATACTTTAGTGACATGGTTGTTCATTTATTTTAATGAATAAATTCCACTTGTTTCTGCAAAGTGTTTTAGGAGAGAAAAATAAGTCAATCATTGCTGTTTGTTTCTAAATACTCTGCATGAACCCTTGAGTATACTGGTCAGAGTTATTCAATATAATTAGGTGGATAACATGAATCAGAAACCTAAAACTTTCCATTATGTATATATATATATATATATATATATATATATATATATGAATACTAATGTCATTACATTGATCAATCACAGAGTAGTTGGTGTTGTTGTTTGCGTCCAGTCCTTAACATAATGTACCCACTAGTCTAAATAACTCGTAATCTAATGTATTTCGTTGAGATGTTACATAGTTGATAGGCAGATGACAGAAAACTTCTAACTCAGGTCACACGCAATCTGGTGTACGTGGTGAATCGGAACTCATGAACAGCCAACTTTTTCCAGTAGATATCAAAATTTTACTGTTATTTCCTTGTTTCGTCTGCCCGTGACTCTGGGCTTAATCACCGTAGAGTAAGTTGTTTCGATCTATTTTATGGTTTCGGTGCAACATTGCAACTGGTGAGCTTTATCATCATCTGTTAATTTTATTACGTTTTTTATTATGTAATCAATAATTTTAATCATCAATAGTTTCGAGTGTGATAAAAAACTGTTTGTTTTTTTCATTGATTCTTTTTTCTAGATATGATATTCGATCCACTGAGACAATACATGTCCTGGGACTGTGTTGTTAATTTTAATGAGACGACAGATCCTTTACAATTCATGAATTTAGAATTAAAAAGTATTACTAATACTGTCAATCTTCATCAAATATCTGTGCTTAAAAGTATCTTGTTTAATTATTATTTATCCAACATTAAAAACGATAATAGTCGTTTGATTTTATGCGATCTATTCATTGAAGCTCATCTGTTGGCTTGTAAATATAATTGCTTCGACCAAAACACCACTTACAATCATGCACAAACATTGTCCGATTGTCAATATTCACTTAATTATTTAATACAATCAATAAATGTTTGGTATTATCTCGAATATTGTCATCATGAACAAAATAAAAATCAAATATTATGCAATCAGTTGAATGAAACCAATTTACTATTTGATTCGATGAGAAATGCTTATCATTCATTAGAAAGTCAAATAACTGAAGCTAATTCTATGCTTGCAATAATGAGAAAAGATTTGCATAACTATCAAGAGATATATTTACCTGAAGCTAAAAGGAATTATGCATGTGCCCTCGAACGTTTACAATATTTGGAAAAGGAAATCCTGCGTAAGGAAAGTGAATTAACTGATATGAAGAAACCAATGGATAGTATCAGAAAATTGGCCGAAGATGAATTCGATAAAGCAAGTTATTTTGAGTGTGTGTTTGAACTACTTGTATAATATTAGTAGCATAAAAAATACAGCATTGATTATCAAATATTTCAATTGTGAATGTTAAAATAACCCATATAATCGAGTGAGATTGTTTTCAATTAGATCGGCATCCGGCTTTGCTCTAATGTACATGAATATTGATCTGAAGATGTTAAACCAACCAAGGCAATTTAGGACTTAATAATCACAATGAAATAGATTACAAACTACACCTAATAGGTAAAAGTACAAATTGATTGTTATTATTTAAGCTCTTCTTATTACTTAATTCAAATAGAACTTTGTGAGTATTACCTTTAGCCTATTTATCTAAGTTTGACCTACTACTGTATTTCATTGTTCTTACCACTCACTGTACACCTGTCTTCCTGCTATCAAATTGTACTTTTACCTATTACGTGTAGTGAAGTAACCTATTTCACTATGTTTATTGACTCATAAATTGTCTTGGTTGGTTTGACATTCTCCCATCAACGCAGATAATCGAATTGGTTAATCGATTTTCTGTAGCTTTTCACATGTAATTCCACTAAATAACATTCATTGCTCTTAAAACATATCCTTTATGGTTCTGGGTTAATAACTAGTCAAGTTTAACTTCAATCCGTCAAAAGCAGAGTAGAACCTGGTGTATAAATGTATCGATTGAAGTTGATGCATTAAATTAGAACAATAAAATGAAATTATTAAAACATTAATCAGACTAGTTAAATTAGTAACAATATTACTGATAGTAAAAAACATCAGCATTATTATATTATTCAAGAAGATTTAGTGAATTTGTGGAGAAAAATGTTTTAAGTTAATGTTAAAGATCAAGATTTAAGAAACGAAAAACAGTGAAGGCATCACACGCAGTTTTCATCGATTTTGAGCCTTTTTGTCCTGCGAACGGCATCGATTCTTGAAAATGCAAGAAAATTGGATGATCCTGGTAAATATTAGTTGGTCTTTCTATTCCTGATGAAAATTTCAAATAGAGGGCCTTCACAAGTTTCGTGTACTTTTTAGGGCTAAGCATCTGTTGAACAATGGGGTCAGATGCTGCCCTTAGGACGTAGGTCCAAGTTCGATAACTTAACAAAGAGTGGACATTCAATTGATGTCTCTATATCTCTATCTGAAACCAGTTTGACTTTTTCGGCATTACTGTTCAACAGCCCTTGTTAGAACATACTCTAGTTTTTTCTTTGAATCGCTTTTTCCAAAATGAAAAAGTCACAAACCTTTGTTTTTTGTCTACCTTATTTTGATTTTAGTTAAAGAATGCTTATCGTTTAGCTGTTCAAGGTTTGCATAATTTATCGATTGAAGATCTAGATGAAATAAGATCGTATCGTGAACCACCGGATGATGTAAAAGATTGTGTCTATTTAATTTGCATGCTTATGAATGAAGAGGAAAAGTTAGTTGTCTATACTTTTTTTTCCATTGGGTTTCATTTTACAAATCACTTGTAGACGAAAAGCGAGAGTGAATAATAAGACGTTTTTGTCAACCAATTAAATCAAAATATACACACGATCACTCACTCATAAATACAGATATATTTCCCATAGATAATCTTCTGACTAGATCTTCCACTGATGGCATGTATTTATCTTTCTAAGAAAACTAAGCCAGATCTCAAGTAATCACATTCAACCGTTAGCTTCCCTCACTTATCATTTAACAGTGATATTCATATGTCATATCACCTTAACCTTCCTAATAAGTTTAAATTTTCGGATTCATCTGTGGCAATCGGTAGGTGGAGTTGAGGTAGGTCAAAAGCATTTTCGACGAAATCTTGTCCAACAGAAGTTGCATGAGGAATCATAAATCAATCTGGGTTAGGTATCCACTGAAAATTTAGAAACACTAGGCAGATGCTCCTCCTTCGCAGTACGAGAATCCTCAGTAGTCCACATACATTACTCCATCATCGAAGATTGAACACAGGACCTCCAAACTACTGAGCAAGAATCCAAATATGAATATCATCTAATTCCATTCAAATTTTCCACCACTGAGGTGTCCAGTAGTAGAACGGAATAGTTGTAGGTTTTCGATAGTTAGTTAACTTTGGTTGATTCGTGATATTACCGGTGTATTTAATATTTGTAACAATCTCCAATACTCACGATTCTAAATTGTACTTGTTTAAAAATAATTAGCTAGTTAACCATACCAAAGAACAATTTATGCATAGTGCAGAATCTTCGAAATTTTAAGGATTTAAGCTTAGTGAAAGTCACTGTAAAGATTCTCTGCCTACAATGGATCGGTTTTTGCTATAGCATTGGAATCTAGGCAAGGCTATTTCAACCAGCCTCAAGTCGTCATTAGAATTTTCCGACACCTCAATGTTGACTTAACTCAAAGATAAGGGACTGTAGAAAGCGTCAAATACAACATTTGATTGTTAACTATAGTTGTGTATTCTCATTTAGTTTATTTTCTTGAAATTAATCATTTTGATGATGTAGTACACCATTGAAAATAACAAAATTGTTTTCTGCTGAAATTCCATTCTATGCATCTTATTTTTTTCTTCTCTGTATTCAATAAATCAAGTTGGGAAAATGCAAAACATATGATGGTTCCAGTAAAATTTATTAGTACAATTTTAAAACTCTCCGCTCAATCATTGAATAAACATCAACACAGAGAATTAAGAAAACGTTTAAATAATTCAGAAATATTAACATTTGAAAATTTGTTACAGGTAAAATCAAAATTAATTGTTTGTAGATAAAGTTTTAAAAATATAGTAGTCACAAATAATTTTTTTTCAAACAAAATATTACTTCTATTAATCGAGATAGAAACATGGAAATGAATTTAATCCGAGTATCATGACGTTTGAGAGAAGATAGAAACCAAGAAATTATTGATTCGTTATGAACCATGTTAGACCAGCCATAGATTTCTATTGATTCATATTGTCATGTGAAATCAGCAGAGCTAGAGTAAACTAGAGAGATGAGATAATAGTGAGGATTTGAGTTTAGGAAAAGATCAAGAACAGATGCTTCTGTGTTGGAGTAACCGATTAGGAGCTATGTTACCTAAAGCCTTATTTCATTGATCATGATTACAAACCAACCATTGACAGATAATCTTAAACAGATATATTTAATGATTTGTTAAGTCTCAAGAATATATGCTTTACAATCTAGATAGACTCGCAATCAGGAATTATGCATCTCATTTCAAGCACAATACCATCCAGGTGATGGTTCTATTTAAGCCTAGAGACATTTTACAACTGTTTTCTTCTATTGTCAGATACCTCAGCAGTGCACAAATTGAGTAATATTACACATACTCATATTTGTATTACGGCTTAGCAGTTTGAAGGTTAAGTGGTGACACGTGAGACGGAGGGGCCTGATACTGTCGAATATAAATCCTTCCCACCATTGACTACTTTCTTGTAGTATAACTTTTGGTAGAACATAAAGTAGATTCTTTAAAATCTATGCACGTAAATAAAAATGGGGATACTATTTAGCAAATACGTAATGCAACAGAATAGTATCAAATACAAAATCTGTTTGATCGAATATACATCCCAATTAATTACTGCAAATGAAGGACAGTCGTATTTATTCCGAAAGAATTGGATATTTTGAATTTTCTTTTCTTGTACTAAACTTTCTAATTTTCCATAGTTTATTCTTCATGTCTGCAATCAGACACTCCCTGTTATCCTTTTTGTATTTTAATCTGTGCCCTGTTGCACGTTATAATCTATTTAGTATGCGGTTATCAGTGAGATCCAGTAAGCTCATTTCGTCTTTAATAGTTCACTTGACTAGGAGGCATTAGGTGTTTGTTTAAAGAGTAAAATATCGGATTCCACATTTAGTGTAAACATCAATTCTCAAATGCATAGGTATTATTCCAGCTGGCGGGATATAGTAAAAAACACTCTTCGAGAACTTCATTGTCAACCGCATTCGAAATATGTTATGGTTGACTATCATTACAAACCTCAACAAATAAATAAGCTTCATTGACCGGTTAATTCTGCTTATCAATTGATAATTTTTTTTTCGACGAATTCATAGGTGAGTGTTGCAGCTGCACGATTATATCAATGGTTAAAGGCATTATGTGAATGTTGTGATGCCGCGGAACGTTTACAAATTCATATCAATAATTATTCTTTAATTGAAATGCAATTAAATCAAAATGAATCAATATTAGGCAATTTACATGTTTCCTTACAAATGACTAAAATCGACATAGAATTAGCCAATAATCGTTTAATTGAATGTGAACAACAAATTAAACATCTATCAGAGAGTATCAATGTAAGTTTAATTAATTTTAGCTTTGCATTACATTTCCATGTACAGTATTAGAATATATTTCTCTTGTATTTCAAAAACCAAAGATGCTTTTGTTATAAATACTTGATAAATTTTCATACTTTAGAAAAATGCTTTTTTTGGAATATAGATAAATGGAAGTAATCGAGAGGGGAGAAAGTTTTGTCAACTTAGGCTTTATAGTAACTGAACTTTGTCAGTACAACACACGTGAAATCTTCAAAAAGGATGTTAATTCCGGTTAGATTCAAATCCACATCATTCAGATTCCTGACACCAGATAACGCTTCGTGAAATGCCATATCATTCATTCGAGTCAGTATGGCTTTGCGTATGTCACACGCTGCTAAATCATTACAATACGATTAAAATTCAATGAAATCATGAACAGACCAATGGTGCAGTCGGAATCAGAGCCTTCAGTCTCCTAAGCGAACACCAAACCCCTGAGCCACTGAGTGGATGCCCAATCATGTTAATATTTAACTTCAATCAATCCACGTTTTTCTGTCCTCAATTTTTATTAACTTTGGCTAGTAACTGCCTCACGTCCGATATGATTTTAAACTCCAATGGTCATAGCCTTCTAACGGGACTCTGAGAAACTCGTTTCAAAGCTAGTCACTAGTGAGTAAATCTTACTTATCGGTACAGGGCTGTGGAGATTATTAGGTTTCATTGAAATCATGTAGATCTAACATTGATCGATTCATGATTTCAATAAAATTCAACAATAAACCACAACCCTATACTGATAGTGAAACTTCAGCTAAACTAGAATCCAGTTCCTCTGAACTTAGTGTACCTAGATAACTTATCGATTTTCAGTGTAACCTAACACTAGTGCCTAGATTAAGCATGTCGTTGGTTACTCTTCTGTGAGTGACCAATAAAATCGATTTCTTCTAAGAATAAATCCATTTTCTAATATTTTTATTATTACAGACATTATATTACAAAATTGATGAAGCTAAATCATTGATATCAACTATACAGAGTAATTTAACTGAATTACTTGTTGACGACAGCAATAATGATGTAATTGATGCCAGCAATGATTTTTCATTTTGGTTCAATATACTTGGAGCATTGGGAACAGTTTACTGTCAAGTATTTCCAGTTAAGCATAGGTAATGAATCTTGTGCTTTCTAACTTTTATGTGTATCTCTGTGCTGAAATAAAGATCAGATTTGTATTTTATAGTGAATATGTAACAGAACACGAAACACAAGAGTATACAGTAGTTAGCCTATTAAGATCTTGTCTAGAGTTTTGTCTCAGGTTACAAACATGTGAACTTTTGAAATACTGTATATCCATGCTAATCGATTGGTTACTATTACGATCCAAAGTTTTCGACTGCGGTCACCATACCCTACACACGCCTACAAAAACATATAGGCTAGTTGCTTGACTAGGAACATAGTCTGCTTCTCCTAATGGCATTTTCTGACAATAATATCTCACCGACTAATTGACTGTCAAATGTCATTTAAGTACAAGCATGTGATAACCTGAGACTCACTCAACAATTACGATCAGTTAATAAACAAACTATGATCTGTATAATGAGAATCAATCTAAACACTTGTATCATAGTTGAATAGTAATTAAATAGTCTTATGAAAAGACGAAGTTAATTTGATAAAATATTGATGTAGCTGGCGTGTTTCAAAAATCTAGTGAGAGATTTTTGAAGATGAGAAAAAAGTCATACACTTGTAAACAATAAGCTGTATGAGTAACTTTCTAGTTGTGGATTTGAACAGGGTTTTTGTAATGATAATCGCCAGTTAAATAAGTGAACTGATTATCACCTTCGATATAGATAAGTCATGAACTAGACCGACCTATCATGATAATTTATATGTGATTGGTAATTTCTTTTGAATCTATTTCTGTATCTTATAAATTTCCCAGAGTTGTTTATCCAATCTCTAAATTGTTGAGCCTCGATCTACTAGTGTGTACAAGTCAACTTTTAATCAGTCGATTATATTAAGCATCAATATTTTATCGTCTTCGGCAAGCAATCGTTTCACACCCGTTTTCAGCTCTACTGATTATAAATTTCAAAGGAATTTTAAACTGACCTCTTAAAATTAGTCACTAGTGTGTACACAATAATTATCAATATGGAAGTTTGTGAAGATTATTGAATGTTATTGATATGATGAACAGACCTAAATTAGACATCTATCAGAAATCAAGAAGCTAATATTTATCATATGTGTAGTTATTTCAATGACTTTTATTCTAACTGTTTCGTGTTGTTATTTCACAGATCTTTATTGTGGAACAATTTCAAGAATCTTGTTTGGAATAAAATGAAGGTAAAGTTAACTGAGTTGTAGAAACATTTATCTTTTTTTAATGCAGTTTTCAATGTTTTGCATTATCCCAGTCGTGATACATTGACTGAAATTCAACCAGTCTTAGTTCGCATATGTGCATTCTTGGCAAATCACCACGCCATGACTGTTATTTCAGAAGTTAGTATAAAATAGACAAACTATGACTAGTGGTGAATTTCAGGATGTGAGTTTGATTCAATTTCGAATTATTTAGCTTGATGTACCTAAACCCAGGGCCGATGTCCAACCTGGGATTCAAACACGATCCCTTTCGCACCAAACGCCGTCGGGGCAACCTACGTAAGATTAACATATGCTAACTAAACGTGACCAAATTTCAGTAAAGGTGTCAACAACAGGATAACCCAGATGATTTCAAACTAAATTCAAACTCATACCTGTTGCATAACGGAATGTCTATTCGGACTTAGTAGTTAAGTGGAGAACACGATAGTACTTGAAGTGAAAAGTACTGAGTTCGAGTCCCTATACTAAAATCAACACAGAATTTTAGGTAGACTCAGCTGACGAGCGCCCAATAGGTTGAAACTTATATCCTGAATTCCAATGCTAGCCACACTCCATTTATTCGATATAACTTTGTGAAATGATGGCCAAAGATGGCGATCCGCCCAGGATGAACGCAATCAAGATTAGTCAGATTTATTCTTCCATTCATTATTCTGTTTAGTTATTCCTATTATCCTTCCAAGCTGATTCTTTAAAGTTAGTGCAGTAACGCTGGGTCATTAATTTTGATCAGCAATTGAAGAAATTAATCTCGAGGTTATATATATATATATATATATATATATATATATATATATATATATATATCAGCGCTGCTATTCAAACAGAAACTCGAATTCAGAGCTTATTGCTTTGAAAAATACTGAATTATGCAATAATCTAATGAGTCAGTGCTTTCATTAAATTAAGTCTCAGTATAAGCATTAACACTAGGGAAGAATTACATGCTATTGGCTTATCGTAAATTAAGTATTATGTCTAAAGGATGTTTAACTGACTTGTGATTTGTACTATGACCTTTAGTCCGACGAAGCATATTAAAAGCACACAAAACAGAATGCAACAGTCATCTGGAATTACTGTGCTTAACACAATGTAAAATAGTCTTAAACATTCAATTAGCGATGACCTGAAGGCATCAGACTCTGGTTCTTGTGTGTTTATAAAGAATAACTTCATACACTGAAAAATGCAAATCCTTACAAGTAATATTCATTCATATTGTATTTTCACAATACATTTTCATGCATAATATACTAAATTTGTTGTATGCAACTGAATAAATAGACTTTACATTTCTTTTCTCAGCAAATCAATCAACAAAATACTATGAATGATTATAAAGAAAGTTTAATCATGAATGAAGAAAATTTCCATAGTTTACAATTATTTAAAATTATTCAAATTAAACCATATGAAATAATGAATTGGTTTATATGGGAGAAAAAATTCCCATCTGAATTAATACTTACATATCATAATCAAAATATTGGTTATATGCTTGAAGCTATTCTATCTATACGTACAATGCTATGGTCAGTTAGATATACTCATACCAGACAGTGTACTACTACTACTACCAGTACTGACACTACTACTACAAATACTACCGATAATACTAATATGAATGGATCAACGTTATATTTGTTTATTTATGATCCAGATCTAATTGGTATAAATATGATAAAATTATTATTACTGACAACTGCTGATCAAGATGAATATGGAAATGTATGTTCTAAGTAAGTGGTGAATTCATTTGATACAACTTATTTCATTCATTCAAATGATGTGCATTGATATTGATTAAAACACTAATGGTTTATTTGCATTGAAAATATTCATAAGAATTAAATGAAGCAACAGAAATTTATTCATTGTCTAATTTAATGGATGGAGTTCAAATGAAATACCCTTGTTGAATGAATTTCCTATTATAAGTATAATTAATTTATGTAAATATTCGTTAGTATTTGACAGAAATCGAGAGTTGAGTATCTAAAAGAAAAGTTTTGTGAACATTATAAGTTAAATAATCTCAGACATTGAAATTGTGCATAATTCCAACTTGTCTGAACTTCATCAGAGTGATAATTAGATAATTGGATGCCGGCCCAGTGGTTCGATGGTTAGGCGTTCGCGCACAATACCGAAGGTCCCGGGTTCGAATCCTGCGAGGTGCAGGAGTCGTGGGTGCGCACTGCCACTGATGAGTCCCATACCAGGACGAAATGGCCGTCTTTCAGTGCTTCCAGGTTTCTAATGGTGGTCTAACAATGATTGATTAATGATTTCAAATGTGTAAAAACACAAAACCTCCAGAACTCTGCCTGAAAAAGATAATTAAATTATCAACATTCGACTTTTTAAAAATATATGCAATTGCATTTAATTCCGTTGGTTGGATGATGATGTTTAGCATTTCTATTGATCAATCTATTTTGACAAAATATGCATTGTGTGTGGATTAACTCGATATAACCAGTAAGTCACAAGCATTTTAATGAGAGTTGGCTGATGGCTTGCAATGGAATCTCAAGTAGAATGTAATGTGAGTCCTAAATCCTCTAATGTTAGTCCATTTTATTCATCTCTTCTTGTAATTTACAATCGCTCTTCTATTTTTTACTTTTCATAAACAAATGTTTGATATGCATTCATCAAATATGAAGTATTAGTAACATAAAATTACTCATGTACATACCGACATTGTGAACTTTTCACTGATTCATGTTATTCAACTTAAAGTCAATTAATCGATAAGCATTTGATTGAAATAGTATAGATCCCTTGATAGCTTTGATTTGACTTATTACATTAAAGAAGTCTACACAAGTACACTGGATAGAACATTGGAATTATCTAAACATTTCAAGTATTATTTTCATAAGCTGTTGTAATTAATGGTTGAAGAGTTTCAATGATTTGTGTTACAATTAATTCCAGTTTAATGCATGAATTCAATTTTTATCTTTATAAGATGATGAACAAAAGTCAGGATTTAATTCCAACTATAGGATTAATATTATTCAATAATTTTTGGTTTGAATTATCTGGTTGTTATTACTGTTGACTGGATTAAAGCTGCCTGAATTTCATCAGCTAAGTACATGAACAGGCGTTTGAAATGAAATATACTGAATTCGAGTTCTATGTGAACATAAACAGATGTGATTTCAGTTGCTTGCCATAATCCATCTTTTTAATTCATAATTACGATGAATTGAAGGATGTTATTGTTAGCGAAAGATACCTGTTTCTTTCAAATTCTATTTTTCCTAAATCATTCTAACTCGATGAAATATTTTTCTCAGTTTTCTCCCACTCTCTAACCATCATCGTATCTCGTAACAGACTATGGTAAAGTTGATTTAAGTTAGAAGAATTTATTTTATTCAAATTTAAAAGTTTCTAAGTTAAATACCATGTGTGTCAAGTTATATAATCAAACAAAGGTTCTTTCTAAAACAGCTTTATAAAGAAAGTTGTTACAGTATATGTGATTTCGCACCGAGAGACGCTTAGTTGACCTTCAGCTTACATTTCCCACTCGGAGACACCTTGACCGTCATTGGTTGAAGGATTTTTTTAGTACGGTGTTTTATGGCTCTTCCAACGGCGTCTCTATCATTGTATGAATAAGCTTGATATGTGTGCTTAGCAACCTCGTATTTTCTGGGTGCTTGTAGAATACATTTTCTACTCCTTATCAAGATTTCTTGCTTTTGTTAGCAGGGGTGGGGACAACCGATTAGAATAGCCTATCGTGTCACTAAGTAATTGTTTTCGTTCTGTTTACTGAGTCAGGTGAAGTCGTAATAGCATTCGAGCATATCAATATGATTAATTATGTGACAGCTAATAGCTGTGTCGAAATTCAAATTTTCGGTTGTATATTAAACTAATAACTAAGAACACCAAATACACGAACTGTTTAAAGCGTTCACTAAGTAAAAAGTGGAATCAAAAATGACTATTGCAAATTTTAAAGAAAGACAATTTTAGTGATGAAAAAAATTAAATGTTGCAATTTTGTTTATTAATTTACAATGGTTTTATGCACTGGAGATATACGTTATACACTATTTCTGAAGTTGTCTAGAATTGAAACTGGTTACTGAATATTAATGAGTAATATTTGGTGACACACAAAAAGTGAATCTGTTAAGAAGACAATGATGATGATAAATACGAACAGATTTTTTTCATTCATCTAAACTTATTTTATTTGCTTTATGGCAACCAGTAGAAAGAAGTGACGGTTTAAAATCAATAGTTATGTATTCCAGATAACTTTATTCTCATTACCAAATTTATGGTTTCATGGGAAATTCTTTGTCTCATAGTGTTCCTGAGTATTTTGCCTTAATGCCAACATACAGAACTTCGTAACTCACCAATACAAATGTTCAAAAGATTCTCAGAATTAAAAAAGCTGATAAGCTAAATCCCAAAGTTCAAAGGCATTTGTTTATTAATAAAAGGAATCATTTTTGAGTTTGTCACATATCACCTGCTTGAATTTGAACAGCTAAGTAGTGTAACTCAAAGGCAAACAAATTAGATTTTGTTTAGTAAGCAACTTTTATTCTATGTAACAGTTAAAATTGGGATGATATTAACTAATTCTAGTGAGATGTTTAACACTGAATTAAATTATCAATAACTTTTGATAGATAGTTTAAATATAATCCTATATTTTTTTTCTTCATTTAATTTTAGCAAGAAAGATCAGTTGATATCTGATATTTATATAGATGCAAATGAATTCAAATCTATTCTCAACTACAGCATGAGCACACGTAAGCTTAATAAATAAAGATCGTGGTTTATCATTTGTGTATTTTCAAAATCACTTAATTTATCTTTGATTTTTAACTGCCAATTATTCAATTCATAAGTTGTTTCTTCATTCAGTCTCTATGACCTGATTCCACGCTGAAACTCTTCACCAGTATAGAAACAAACAACTTTAATCATGACCAGTGTGTCATAATTCAGATAAACATTTCAAAGTTTTTGTGTTCGGTCCCTGAATTGTTAGTGGATGTATCTGTTCATTGTGTTCTGATTTTGAATGGTTGTTTAACCATGGTGTGAAATTTGGAATTGGACAGTTTTTAGAACATTGTTTTAGTAAACTGATTGATTGATGATTTCAAAACTGTGCCCCAAAATAATATTCGAAAAGAAGGAGTCGAGATTTAAACGACAATTAATAAACGCCTATTAGTAGATGTGAATTAAGTCCTACAATGTCTACTATCATCCATGATGATGATATTGACTGATAAGCCTACTCCATACGTGTTACATACTTCGGAATGATAGCCAGTGACCAAGTTGAACTGTTTTCATTTTTTTGCAGTTTAGTGACCCTTTCACTTACATTATTCATACTTAACCTAGTTGTAGGCAGAATCGAGTCAAGTAAAATGAATTCTTGTATTCTGCTCAACATTATATTTTCAGAATATTAAAGATTC